AAACAGCCCTGCAGCTTTTAACATCCTGCTATGCAGAAGCTGCTGAGTTCTTTGCGCTGAAAGTCAGCTTAAAGAAGACAGAAGTTCTCCATCAACCTGCACCCCAGGAAGTCCCCCATCATCCCCACATCACCATTGGCCAATCAGAACTCAAATCAGTCCAGCAGTTTAATTACCTAGGTAGCCTCATCTCCTCGGACGGTAGGATTGACGGAGAGATAGAGAAGAGGTGAGCAAAGGCATATAGTGCTTTCGGAAATCTACATAAAAAGGTATGGCAAAAAAACACCTGAAGAAAAGTAAAAAGATCAGTTTTTATAGAGCCACAGTGCTGTCTACTCTCCTCTACAGATCTGGATCACGTGTCATCTACCGCCACCGCCTGCGTCTCCTAGAAGGCTTCCATCAACGCTGTCTCCATTCAGTCCTAAATATCCACTGGTCAGATTATGTGACCAATTCATCTGTTCTTGAACAAGCAGCAGTCACAAGTATTGAGGCCATGTTACTGAGAACCCAGCTTCTTTGGGCAGGCATGTCTCCAGGGTGAAGTTCCATGGCCTCCCTAAGATCCTGCTTTATGGTGAACTTTCCACCGGCTGACGCAAGAGAGGAGCCCCGAAGAGGAGATACAAGGACTCCCTGAAACAACATCCCAGCCTTGGCCATATAGACCACCATAACTGGTCTACTCTGGCCTCCAATCGGGACGCCTGGAGAAACAGCATCTATAACGCTGCTGATGCTTTTGAGAAAGCATGCAGGATCACCCTTGAGGAGAAAAGGCAACACAGAAAGAATCGTGCCTTGCAGAATATACCATCTAAGGAGCCTTTCTCTTGTGCCTTCTGCAACCAGAAATGCATATCTCGTGTTTGCCTTTTCAGCCACAGACGGCTTGAGACAAACATGGGTAGAGCCCAACCCAAATCTTCTTTCGCGAAGCCTAGCCACGATGAATATGTGCGAATGTCTGAGTTGTTGAGAATATGCGCGATGTTGCGTAATTTTAGCCAAATATGTGTGAGTGAGTCTGAGCTTCTGTGAGTGTTTTCGAGTGTGCCTGCACATCTGATATTGTCTGAGTGTGTGCGAGTGTATCTCGGTGTGTCTGAATGTGTTTTAATTTTCGAGTTTATCTGAGTTTTCTTTGTTTTTCTGAGTTTTTTAGCATTTCTTTGTGTTTTACTCTGTATGATTGTGTCTGGTTGTAGCAAGGCTGTCAGATAGTGTGCGAGAGGATGTGTGCGTGTTTGTGAGCGTGTCTGCCTGTAAGATTGTCTGGGTTTGTCCGAGTGTGTCCTTATGTGTCTGGGTGTGTCATAGTGTGTTCACGGATGCGCCAACTTTTTTTAATTTTTGCGAGTGTGTCTGAGGTTTTTCGATTTTTGTCTTGTTTTTTGCCACTAATTGCGACTTTGTATTAGTGTGTACGAGTGTGCCCAGCTGTGTAGGATTTTTTCTCAGTGTGTCTATGTATTTGGGAGTGTGTTTTTTGAAATTTTTCTTTTCGTGTGCAGTTGTGTGTGAAAGCGTCTCGGTGTTTCTGACTCTGTCTGGTTGTGTTTGTGTCTTTCCTAGGTGGCTGAAAGGGGTATTGTGCGGGGCCAGAGCCGTGTCTGCCTGGCATGGCCTGGAGGGGGCCTTTGTGCCAGGGCACGGCACTGCCGGGAAACACGGCGGGATGGATCCAGGACTGGCAAGGCGCCACCGCCAGCCCTGTCCCCTCCCAGCCACGGCGTCCTGACTACAAACTGGGACATGGATGGGCCTCGGGGACAGCCCGTGCAGAGGATGGGGGTGTTTTGGGGCCACCGAGCTAGATGTGGTGGCGGTGGGGTGGGTGCCCCGAGAGGCAGCTGGGGTGAAGCTGCGGGGCAGGGGGGTCCCTGGGATGCTGCTGCAGGGATGGAGACAGGGACAGGGACGGGGACAGGGATGAGGACCAGCCTTGCTGCTGGCAGCAGGTGGCAGTTGATGGCCAGGGAAAGCTCCTGCCCTCTGCCAGACGGGGACACGTGGTCGGACCGGAGCCATCATCGCCGGGCCACCGAGAGTGGCCGGTGGTCCCTGTGGGCTCAATTTGGGAGGACCCAGAGCCACTGGAGACAAGACTGGTGGGACTGGGGCAGCTGCCACATCCACCTTTAATGCCCAGAAGCTCCTTGTCCCCAGCCAGCCCCGTGTCCCCGCAGCTGTCCTGGGCCAGTGTCACCAGCGACAGGCAGGGTTTGCCCTCTGAAACACCAGTTTGGGGGCACCTATGCACCCCATAGTGGCACTCGGTGTCCCCAGCCAGAACAGTGGCATCCCTGGGGACACATGCTGTGTGACAGCCCTGGTGACAGGGGACCTCCATCCCTCGCGGGGTGGGGGGGCAGAGCGGGGGCTTTGAGGTCCTGTGTGAGCACCCACTGCTCCCCAGGGATTGATCCTCTCCTGGCTCCCACGCAGCGGGATCAAAGCACAGGAAGCTGTAAGTGCCGGCAGCTGCAGGAGGCAGAGCTGGGCTCTCCCTCCTCCTCCTCCTCCTCCTCCCGGCCCCCCCTTAATGAGACAAACGAACTGCGAGCAGGCTGCGAGTGTTAATGAGAAGCTTCCAGGTTGAAGAAGACAAAGGTGAGATGAGCCGCTGCCAGGCAGAGAAGGGGCAGGAGGAGCCAGTGACCCCGGTTCCCGTGGGACAGAGGCACACTCGGAGCTGTTCCACATCCCAGTGCTGCTCCTCCGACCCGTGGTCACCTTTTCCAGGCCAGCTTAGCTGGGAGCTGCTCCTGAACCCCAGCTCCTCCCACGGGAGCTGCTGTGGGAGCCCAAAGAGGGGAGCAGGGCTGTGGGAGGGGGCTGTGGAGGCCCAAAGAGGTTGTAGGGCTGTGAGAGGGGCTTTAGGGGCCAAAATAGGGTACAGGGCAATAGGGGAGGCTGTGGCTTAAGGGGGTGTCAGGTCGTGAGAGGGGCTAAGAGGGCATAAAGGGGACAGTGCTGTCCTAGGGGTGGCTGTGGGTGCCCAAAGAGGGTTCACAGGGTTCTAAGGGGTCACTGGCCGGAGTTGGCACAGTGAGGGAATTGGAGCAGGCCTTGCCCAGCCTGGGGCTCCCTCCCCACCCCTGCACCCCCCAGCTGAACCAACCCCCCCCCCGAGTACATGAGGACACAGAAAATGGGATCTGAAGCCATGTCCTCCAGCAGCTCCATGCCCCCACCCCAGCTCCCACCACTGGACACCCTCCTCGCTGGCTACAGCTGCTCTGGTAAGTCCTGGCACTCACCTCTGATCCTTGCAGGAGCTCCTGCCCCATCTGCTCCTGGGCTGGGTGGGTTCAGTGGAGCCTTTGATCTACTTTGGAAGCTCCCAAGCAGCTGTGGGGGACGGGGGGACATAACAACACCCCAAAACCACACAGCCTGAATTTGTGCTGTGCCTGCACCAGTGCTGAGAGTGGCTGTGTGTCCTGGGGACACGGGGGGTGTGACATGCCAAGGTGCCCCTGCACAGCTCCAGACTGGCAGCTGATGTGACCCCAGGACGCCATGGATCTGCTGGATGCCTTGGCCCCAGTGCCAGGGCTGCCCCCTCGGCACTGAGCTGGGAATTGTGCTCCCCAGGGGCTCTGTCCATGTGCTTCCCCATTCCTGGTGCAAACCTGCTGGTGGATTTCAATTCCAGCAGGGCTCTCACTGGGCAGACAGACGCTCTGGCTGTCACTCCAGCCTGAACCTGGTGCTGTTTGCAGGGAGCAGTCCAGGTGTCTGGATGCTTTTCCAGCAGCTCCCAGCTGCTCACTGGGGGGTGTTGGATTCCTGCCTGCCACAAATCCTTGAGCTGTGCTGGAAACCTGCCCTTCCCACTGCTGGCTCTGCCTCCCAACAAACAAACCACGTGCTGATGTGGATACAGGAGCAGTTCCCAGCTTCCAGCACCTGTGTGACAGCTCCAGTCCGTGCAGGGGTGGTTCCTGGGAGGGCCGGGGGTGTTATAGTGTGATGGGGGAGGGACGTTTGGTTCTACTGGGAGATTTTTAGGGATTAAGAGGGGAAGGCAGGGAGCAGTGCTGCCAGGTTGGTGGCTGTGTCCCTCCTGGCCTGCACCAGCCCTGGGCTCAGCACCCAGGGCTTGGCTGGTGCCTCCCTGAGGGTTCTGCAAGGTCGTGTCTGGGGGCTGAGTTTGGGGGCAAAGTCCTCAGGGAGAGTCAGGGTTGAGGCTGTGTATCAGGGGTTAATTATGCTGATACGTTTGGTCTGTGTTTGCCCCCACCACCTGTGAAAGTTTAGCTCCTTCCCTGCCAAGTTATGGGAAAACAAGCACTGATAAATCAGTTGAAGAGAGTTTCTTGTATAAACTGTTTTAATTGGTGTTCTGTGATTGGCTAATTGTCCTCCAAGGTTGCTTGAAGGAGAGATTGAGGAGGAGGAAGATGAAGTAGCACCCCCAGACTCAATTAAGAAAGACCCCCAAAGCAGACTGCATGTGTTAGGGGATTTCCAAAGTTCTCACGCGTGTGCAGAAGAGATGCACTTACATAACCGGGAGGTGGGACTGAGGGCTTCTGGCTGGGCGGTGCTGGCCACTCCTGGGAGGTTGTGGTCAGTCAGTTAATTGTATAAAAGCAGACAGTGCTTTCTTGGAGGGAGCTAGCTTTACCTCAAGGACAATGTTGCCTTTGGCGGGGATGCCTGCCAGTTTGTGAACTTACTGACTCTCCAAGGATGCAGCTTCTGCTATGGGTAATTATAGGCATGCTAGGTCGGTAAGATAACTTTATGGGCAACAGCTGGGTGACTGGGGAGGTCATGCTGGGGGCTTATTTTTCTCCTCCTTCCTCCCTTTTGGGTTTGTTAGTTTTGTTGGCCACTTCTTGGTAATAAATATTGTTTTTTGTTAAGCTTTTAACGGTGTCATGGTTTCAAGATTCGATATGTTTCGAACTCTCCCTAATACAGGCTGCTTCCATGTGTGGGCCCTTCTGGGGTCATGCTGGTGCTCTGGGTAGGTGTGTTGCCCTTCAGGGACCCAAACAGCTGTACTCCACTCCTCTCACCAAGTGTGGGAGGTGCTGATTGTTTCCTGTAGCTCTGTCCCTTCCTGCCACATCCCTTTCCTGGCTTTGCTCCTGGTGTCATCACTGAGTGTTTGGCTCATCCTCATGAGTGCATATTGTGTCCCTGTAGCCACCCCAGGCTCCCTGGGGGGGCCCTGGAGCCTGGAGCAGGCTGAGGAGCTGCCCTGCCCCAGCCTGGGAGAGGGGTCCGTGCTGCCCCTGTGGCCTTTAAGCTTTGCCTCAAACATCGACTCCCAACTCTGTGGTGAGTTGGGCGAGTTCAAAACAGCCCCAGAACCAGAGATGTTTAATCACCAGGTTAATTTGAAAAATATTTTTCCTTTGAAAAGTCGAAAGCAAAGAAAAAACAGTCAGAACACCGGAGATTTCCAACAGGAGGATGATCCGAGGCATCCAAGTGCCCTGCAGAGGAGACGCTACAACCCAGCCGGTTCCCTGAGCGCCCACCAGCAGCAGCGGCCCAGGTGGGTGAGGAAGAAGATGCCGGTGATGACGGCGAAGCTGATGCCCATGGCCCTCATGATGAAGATGGACTTGGGGCCACGCCGGTGCTGAGCCGGGAAGGTGACGCTGAGCCAGAATCCCGCCATCATCTCGCTGTCCCTCCAGCAGAAGTAGGTGCCCCTGTCGCTCCTGCGCACTCGCAGGATGTGCAGGTGCTTCCCATGGTCGATGAAGACCCTCATGCCCTTCCCAACACCCACGAGGTACTGGGAGCAGTAGAGCTGGACCGAGTCCTTGTCCCAGCCCATGGCGTGCTCCAGGCGGGCCCCTGGGCACATGATCACCAGGTCAGTTTGGGATGGGGACATGGGCTTCTCCCCAAACTTGTAGATGATGCTGGAGATGGACTGCACTCCCTCCTCGGGCGCCTCCTTGGGTGGGTACAGATGGCCACCTCAGGGCTGCGGAGGCGCAGGAGGCATGGGAAGCGTCCTTCCTTGGAGCTGCACAGGTAGTGCCCAGAATCCCTCACCTGGGCCCGGAACATGATGAGGCTGAACATGCGGATGCTGAAGCGCTTCAGCAGGTCACTGCCTGCGCGGACATGGCTGGAGTCGAGCACCATGGTGCCGTTGAAGTCCGTCAGCACCGTGGTCTCACGGCCGTGCAGATTCTTCTGGAAGTACCAGATGACAGGAGACCTCCTCGGGCTTGCACTTGCAGGGCAGCTTGAAGGTCATGTCTGCCAAATAGGCGACGTTCTCAAATGTCAGGAAGGCGAGACATGCCATCTTCTTGAAAACATCCCCCTTCTTCTCAATGGCAAAGGCCTGGAGGACACCGACCAGGCAGAGGAGGATGGTGGCTCCCAGCAGGCTCGGCCCCATTGCTCCGGGCCAGCTCTGCCCCAGCAGAACTCACCCAGCCCAGCCAGAAATGTGCTGGGAGCAACCCCCTTGCTCCGGGACATCCTGGCCTCTGTGACACCCGCTCTGGAACCTTCCTACCCTCAGCAGCTCTGGAGAACTGTCACCTGTGTCCCTGGACATGAGGGGGCTGTGATGGGAACAATGGAACTGCCGCCATCTTATGGAATCACAGGGTCACAGAATGGCTTGGGTTGGACGGGACCCTAAAGATGATCTCATCCCAACCCCCTCAGAGTAGAGGACGACCATCCCCTCCCTCACTCCCCTGGCCACCCCTCTTTTGATGCACCCCAAGGATACACTTGGCCTTCAGCGCTGCCAGCACTCACTGTTGGCTCATGTCCAGCATTTCCTCCACCAAAACCCCCAAAGTCCTTCTCTGCAGGGCTGCTCTCAGCCCTTCTCCCAGTCTGTGCTGATGCCTGGGATTGCCCCAACCCAAGTGTAGCCCCCTCCACTTGGCCTTGGTGAACTTCATCAAGTTCTTGTGGTCCCACTTCTCAAGCTTTTCCAGGTCACCCTGGATGTCCCTATCCTTCTGTCGTGTCACCTGCCAGTGTGCTGAGGGTGGGCTCTACCCTCTAGTTCCTTAAAGGAAACCTGGGGCCAAGCTGATGAGGAACCTGGTCTGACTGTGAGAGTGGGGTGTGCAGAGCCAAACAGGGCCCCCTCGGGTCACTGGAGCCACCATGGCAAAGGGGCTTCGGTCCCAGCAGTGTCAGCCCGGGGGGCAGGAGTGGGACTGTCGGAGCAGCTCCGTGATGGGAGACACAGAAGTTTCCTGAACTTCCAGTCCTGGGCTATGTCACATGCTGGAGACAGTGCTCAGTGTGCGATGATTCCTGCAAGGCACTTCAATAACCCAAGACTCCCTTGTGCATATCCCGGGCAGCCTCTTAACCCACAGCCTCCCCTATGGCCCTGCACCCCACCCGTGGGCCCCCAAAGGCCCTCTCGGAGGGCTCTGCAACTCCTTTATGCCTTCAAAGCCCCTCTCACCAAGCCCTGCCCCCTCTCCGTGCCCTCACGGCGCCTCGTACACACATTTCAGGCACTTACAGGCTCAGGCACTTACAGGCTCAGGCTCTCACTCTCCCCCACCACAGCCCTCCTCGGCCCCGGCTCTCTCAGATACTGTGACTCTCCTGTTCCCACCGCCGCTTTTAAATGGGCCACGAAGCCCCGCCCCGTACCCTGATTGGCCCTGCTTCGCCTCACAACTCCCCATTGGCCGCGCCCCGAGGTGCCTCATGGGAGCTGCAGTCCCGCGGCCGCGTGAGGCATCATGGGAGCTGTAGTCTCACCGCTTTTTGCGCCCCCTGCCGGCGGCTCCCGGCACAGCGGTGGGCGAGAGCCCTGGGGGTCCGGGAGGGTCCTGGAGAGTCCCGGGACCCCCGGGCTGGGGCTGTGGCCCTTTTGCCCGGGGCTGCGGCCGCCTCTACGCCTGCAACTGGGACCAGTGCCAGGGAACAGCACCTGGACCTGCCAGGGTTTGGGGGACGCACACACACCTGGGGACACACACACACCTGGGGACACACATACACCGGCTGGGACACACACACCTGCGGCACATGGACACACACACCTGGGGACACACATACACCTTGGACACACATACACCTAGGGGACACACACAGGCCTAGGACACATACACACCTGGAGGACATGGACACACACACCTGGGGACACACCCATACCTGGGAGCACACACACACACCTGGGGACACACCCCCCCACTCACCCACCCCTGGGGAACACCTCCACACATCGGGGGGATACTCACCCCCACCCCCATGTCCCCAGGGCTCCCATCCTCTGACCCCACCACGGCCACTCTGGACACAGCCGCTGGCCCCGAGCACCTGCTGTCACCTCTAATTGGGTCACATCCTGCCCACGCCGAGGCAGCGGGGACGGGCATGTGTGCCTCTGGGTCCCAGTGCCTCTGTGTGGCCTGACCGTGTCCCCCCCTCACAGTGGCAATGCTGTGTCCCCTTCATGAGGCCACCCAGCCTCTAGGGACAGGGACATGGCAGTGGTGGCACCCCCAGTGTCCCCAGTGGAGGTGGCAGAGGGACCACAAGCACTTGGAGCCAGGGAGCCCCTCCTGTCTGGGCTTGGATGAGCTAAGCGGGGTCTGGGGGAAGGTGGTAGAAGGACCCCGTCCCCATGGTGGGGGACACTGGGGACACAGACAGCAGACGGGGAGAGGTCACAGCTCTGCTTTACCATGTTGTTGCCCTGGGAGGGGCAGGCTGGCAGCTCCCCCCATCCCCCAGCGCAGCCCTCCAGCCCGGGGCCGTGTGGGTACTGCACGTCTGTACATCAGGACCACTCTGCCAGACCCCCGGTGCCGCCCCAGAGAGGGGGGGAACAGCGGGGACAGGGCACCGGGGGAGAAAGGGAGGCTCAGCCGGGGGGGGGGGGTTGCAGTAGGGCAGTGCGGGAGGTCCCCCAACCTTTTTGCCACCCGCCCAAACCCTCTGTAACCCCAAGCCCTCAACTTAATGGGCCTCCCCAACCACGAAGTGACTTAATGGGAAAAGGGGGGTTTGGGGCGCCATGGGAAGCCGAGAGCACCAGGTGGAAGGGGATCCATGGGCTGGACCATGGCAGGGGGATACTGTGGGGCTGGGTGGGAGCGAGGAAAGGCTGCGGGGGCTGTGGGGCAGCAGGGAACTGAACCATGGCCCAGGGACACTGTGGGGATGGGGATTTGGAGGGTGCCGTGGGGCTGAACCGCGGCACAGGGATGCTGTGGGGCTGGGGGTTCGGGGGGTGCTGGGGGCGATGCCATGGGGCTGGGGGGTCAGAGGGGTGCCGAGGGTGACGCCGTGGGTCCAGGCTCAGTCCGAGTAGATGATGAAGCCGGAGCAGGTGCTGTACTTGTTGTTGTTGCTGCCGTGGGCTTTTCCCCCATCCAGCTTGATGAACACCTCGTCCCCTACATCAAGGTGCAGGATGACACTGTTACTCGCGTAGTCGTAGTTCTGGTCAGCGTCCTGCGCGATGGCACTGGCCAGGACCTGCCCAGGGGACACCGCGGGACTGGCTCAGGGCATGCCACAGCCCATGGGGCCCACAGGACACTCTGGTCCCAGCTCACCCGCAGCCAGAGGGCTGCACCCCCCTGGATCCGCACCCATGGGTGAACAGGTCCCGCATGGGTGAGGCTTGCTCCAGGCATCCCCCAGAGCCTCTCCCTGACCTGGCGGGCACAGATAAGGGACCACGGCTCTGAATTTGGGTGGGAGACTGTGGAACAGACATGCTGCTGTGGCACTTGGAATCAGATGCAGGACCACAGCTCTGGGTTCTGATGCCGGGTCAGGGAGAGGTTCTGGGGGATGCCCAATCTGGGTTGGGATGCAGGACCAGACATGGGACCATTCCTCCAGACTCAGACATGGGACCATGGCACACAGACAGGACCCTAACTCAGCATTTGGATGCAGGACCCCAGCTCAGAGACAGGGCCCTAGATCCAGAGTCAGATGTGGGACCACATCTAGGACACAGGACCCCAACTCCCAATTCAGATGTGGGATCACAGCTCCAACATGGAACCTAGATCCAGGTTTGGATGAAGGACCCCAGCTCAGACACAGGACTCCAGCTTTGGATTTGGATGCAGGACCATGGCTCAGACAGGGGGCCCCATCTCTGGATTAGGATACAGGACCGTGCCTGGGACGCAGGACCCCATCTCCCAGCCCACTGAATCCCACCCATCCCTCAGTACTTCCCACGAGCTGAACAAGGACCACAAGCGTGTGGCAAGAGCTGAGCTCAAATCCCCCCCAGATCCCCCCCTCACATGGACCCCAACCCGTGGGATGCTCTCCCCACAGAGCTCTCCTGAGAGCCGGGATGTGCTGGGAGGTGCCGGCAGAGCCAGAGGAGCCGTCACCGCCTGGAGAAGCAGCTCCACAGCTGGAACCGCTGCCACTGCAGAATTCTTTGGGTAATCAAATCTCCACTGGCGTCGCACGGAGAGATCGCGGCACTGGGTGACAGTGACAAGGCAGTTGCTGAAATGCAGTAGTGTTGCGCTGGGAGAAGGTGCCGCTAATTACAGCCGACCAGAATCAGCTCTTAATTGTGCTGGGCAGGCAGGCACCGGGGTCCGGGAGCAGTGGGAATGGGAGGGCTGTGCCCACGGAGTCCTGTCCTTTGCCTCCAGGACAGGGGTCCCGGGGTCTGCTGCTCCTCGGGGATGCAGATGCACCGACCCAAGCCCCCCCACAGGCAGTGATGGTGTGGTCAGATGCTGTTAACTCTGGAACCTATTGATGGCCCAGCTGGGGATCCCATAGGATTTGCTCTCACCCCGCCCAGCCTCGTGCCACCACCAGAACTGCCACTCTGTTCAAAGCCAAATGTGTCTTCCCCGCCACCATGAGTGTCCCCGGGAAATCTCCATCAGTCACAGCACCGCAATCTCCAGGGGACGCTGCCTCTGCCAAGGAAGAGGAGAGCGGGAAAAAGCAGGAGAAACAGGAAAAAACAGGTTTGGTGCCAGGTTCTTGCCATGGTCCCCCCCCCTGTGGCAGCCAGAGCCGTCCGGTGCCATCCGTCTTCCCTCGTTAAGGAGCCGCCTCATCACTGCTTGCCTGCCTGTGATAGTTTCACTCTAGGCCTTCCTGGAGACCAGCTTGTAACCAGGAAGGAACTAGGAAGGTGATCACGGAAGTATTCCATGCTATTCCTTTACGTAACTTGAGATATAAATAAAGCCAGCGGAAGGGACCTCGCTCTCTTCCTTTCCGGTGAGGTTCGAGAACGGTGGGTCCCTGTCTCGGTCTTGCTTATCTGGAGCTGAGGCCTACAGTGACTGCTGTTATCTGCCACGTGTGAGGGGAGAGTGCTGGGTCATGTCCAACCATCCTGCTTCTCTCAAGGGAAGTGGTGAGATTTTGCCAGTTCTTCAGTTTGCTGGTTACCAGATTTTTAGATTGTGTAGATTTGTTTTATTTTTGTCCCTTTTTGTCCTATTTTGTCCTTTTCCCTTCTCCCTCCCCTTCTTCCCTTTTAGGAAGCTATTTAGGGTTTCTGGGGTTATAGTATATAATATTCTCACAATATATATCTGTTTTATATGTAAAATATATATATTTTTGCTATAGCTTTGGTTGCTTGGTTCATTTTTTTCTTCCCTCTCTGGGAAGCAGGCCTTTGTTGTCAAGTTTTGGAGACTTGGTGG